CTGCTGGCCGCCGATGCCGGGGCGGTCTCCGTCCCAGCCATGATGTCGCCTAATCCTTGCTCATCCATGATGGAGTAGAACAGGCCACTCCAGCCGTGGAAATCTTCCGGCTTCCCGCTAAACGGGACGTATCCTTGTTTCAGGTAGTTCGTGGCGGACGCCATGCTGCTGCTGGGGTGTGACTCGATGTGAATTACCTACCAAACGCTAGGCTCATGACCTGACAACAGAATTGTAGTTGCTGTTTGTTGTGTAGTTGGCAGTGGTGGCGCAGTTTGGGTAGATACAACACAGAGTGATCATTAGATCCAAAACACAGGCGCCCAAGCTGTCTTCACCTGACGGTTACAGACTTGGAGACACGCCTTCACAATACTGCACAAAACCCATGCAGTAGAATAGAGTCAGTTCTTGCATACAAATCCCAACACATGGGTTCATCGTAGGGGGGTACGTCAAATGCATTTCCATTATCCAATTCTCTAACGATGTGTACTTTCACACCACAGTCATTGCCCCGTAAGCTTGGGCCATCACCTCGTCGCATCACGTACCTTGTTGCTCCATCAATGTCAAGTATTCTTCTACGCTTTTGGGAACAACATAACCCTCTTCGCCCTTCACGTTCAGTGCACTGCGGTATACGCCGTTGCGTTGGTCTTGAATCATTCCCTCGATGAGATCGGTGAGGACTTCACGTATTGTCGCAAATTGTAACTCGTGGTTGGGATTCGCTTTCATGAACGCAATGATTTGTTTCCTTGTCTTAATATGACAGTCTGGCACACCTGGTTCTCGTATATGACACAGAGAGTGAAGGAGGCAGTCTCCGTCACCTTCCGCGCGTCCGACATCCCAGTGTTCAAGCCACCCTCCATTGTCATACCAGTCGTCTCTTGCTTTTGCTTCCACTGCTTTCGCTGCTGCTGCTGCTGCTGCGTCTGCTGCGGCTGCCGCTGCTGCTTGTTGTGCGCGCCGTGCCTCGTCGCGTCGGTCTGCTTCTGCTTTAGCTGATTTTTTAGCTGCTTCTTCTGCATCTGCTTTATCTGCTGCGTCAAGCGCTTCGGACCACGCGTATGCTTCTGCCGCTGCTTCTTCTGCTGCTTCTTCTGCTGCTTTTGCTGCTGCTGCTGCTGCTTGTGCTGCTTTTGCTGCTGCTGCTGCTTGTGCTTCTTCTTGTTGCGCTGCGGCGGCTGATGCTGCGTTTCTTGCGAGTGCTTCTTTTGCTTCTGCTTCAGCTTTTTGAAGCATAGACTATGTTTTCGTTGTTTTCGTAGGATTTCCTTTCGCGCATGGTCTGCTGCTTGCCTATCTCTTTCCTCCAATTCCATTTTCTCATCTTCGACTTGCTTAGCGCGTTCCGCTGCTCTTTGTCGTTGTTTCACTGCTGCTGCTTTTGCTTCTTTATTTCGTTCCACTGCTTGCCTCGCTGCTTCTTTCGCTCGCTCTGTCGCTGAAGGTCGACTCGGATGTTTCGCGTTCATGATGACTTTATTCATTTTCACCTACCTCTCGGTGAACTCTTTTTGAGCATTGAGAGCATTCATTGCGGTATATAGCGTCGTCGCCAGGGTTTGCAGTTCGAAGTAGCCCAGGCCTTGTCCAAGACCGTCCTCCAAATCTCGCAGCGCTTTCTTCGCATCGTGCAATGCAATCTCATCATCGGTCAACGGCTTATCCGTACACACCATGCGCATGTTGTGCACGGGTGGAAGCATGGGGTCCGCATGCCACAACCCGCTTCGAGACATTAGTCTCTTCGTGAGCTAGTCCATCTGAATGATTTGTGTTTAACATTGTGCACATATATAAAAAAACTCTAGACGTGCCATTCGTGTAATCCAAATGTTCTTGTTCCGAGAGACTGCTGTACGAGCGACAGGTGGCTGCCGTAATCTACTGCGAAAGTACACATTTACGCTGCACTGCTGTACAGGCACATGGCTACTACATACTACGCTGTACTGCTGTAAATACACAGGTAGCTGCCTGTCCAACCGACTTCAGCTTCTCCTTGCATGTCTCGAACACGTCAATATCTCTCAGGACCAAGGCTTTCTTGGCCAAGACCATGCTCGTTGTAGCCTCAATCGAAATGTAGGCTCTCTTTTCCGCAGCCGTCGCATATTCGAACCAGGCTGGCATGGCGGCCCGCTGTTCGCTTGGCGGGACCCTGGTCAGTCATGATCTTTGCAAGGTTACTTGACAGAGAGTATTTTAATTTCGGCCGTTTGAACGCGGCCAGCAAAGACTGCGTTTCCCGCTTGGGTACAGTGCCGGCCCGCTAATGAAACGTTCCAAATTGTATTTATGGTTTTCGGACGCGGACGGAAGTGGAGTGACACGTGTGGGGTGCGATACATGTTTCATTGTGATAAGTAAACATCGTGTTTCTTAGCTCGCATGGCCCGACTCCTGTCTAAAAGAGGGTGCTGCCGAACTTCTTCTGCTGCTGCCGATGGTTCACGTAAACACAGTCCGTAGTTTTTGGCACGAAAGCGGCCGCCTCGCCGGTCGGAAGCGGTGGCGGCCGCAACGCAAGGGCGTTTGTTTGATGTGCCATATTCGCCCCCATTTTTGACGGTTGTTGCGTGCGGCTGGAGCCGAAGCCTCGCGGCCTTTTTTTAGTTCCGATGATACGGTTCGCTTGGCGGCTCTTGTCACGTGAATATATTGAGTTTAGGTGTGGGCACATGATGGACTTGCATGTACTCAAGTAGGTGTTGTTGATGTTGGCGCTATTGTGAACAAGTGTTCTGGTGGTTGGTGGTGGTTGTGGTTGTCGGGTTTCATGATTCGTTGTTTTCTTGATAAATAATGAATGTATCATTAACAACATATTCGCCTGATTGAGAGCGAAGTATCTGATTGAGAGCGAGAGCCAAAAAAATTGAAATTTCGGGTCCAGACGCCTCTTGCCATTTCTTGGCAAGTAGGGGACGGGCTATTCCAAGAAGCGGTGCAAATTGAAGGTCTCATCAGCAGCTTCGCGAGCATATGCGTGTCATCGTCATCGGATGCTGCAGCGAGGAGCTAGACAAGTTGCTAGATTTGCCCAGATTGGCTATTTCTGCTCAAACTGTTTCAGGGCGGTATCGCGTCGGGCGGTGGGCTCTGCTGTAGCTTCTGCTCCCCGCTGTAGCTCCACAACGAGAGACTCCCACAGGATGACCAGGGTAGCGGCTTGAAGCTACGGGCTAGCCCTTCAATTCAAGCTACACAGCAAGCTCCACCTCTCAGTGGTAGTCCGGCTACAGCGTATCGCGCAATCTCGCTCTCAATCAGATGCTACGCTCTCAATCAGGCGAATATGTTGTTCATTGGTAAACAACACTGTGCCCATGCACAACCAGAGCTACCCACTTGGTCTAGAATGGTTACCGATGCTTATGTTGTATTCTAATATCGGGAAAAAGAATACTTCTCATGATGAACAATGTGAACTCGGCGAACAGCTACGGAAACTCGACGGCAAGCACGAACGTGTCATAAAGAATATCAACAACAACATCGACTCTTTGATACAAAATAGAGACTTGAAGCTATCCAAGGATGACATGGAGGACCTCAAAAGCAGAATCGTTTTGAAGGTCGGTGAGGTTGCTTCAAATAGAGGATGTGAGTCGGGTCCTGTCGTCTGCGCTTCTCAAAAAATCGAGTTTGACGAAGCTGCCAAGAATGTGCTACGCGACGTGGTGTGAGAAGAGATAGAAGGTGTGCAATCCGGTTCAGACAACGATACTCCTATAAATGATGTCAAATGGGAACTAGCTACCTTGTCCCAAACAACATCGGATGGATTTCATCGGTTGTCAAATCTGCTCACCACCAGACACACTCATGGACTCGAAGATCAAGAACCAAAAGAAGAGATGGTTCCAGTACCGGAAGGGTATGATCCGTCGTTATATTCATCGGGGATTGAGAATGTCATAAATTTGTTTGAGACAGAGAATTCGCAAAATTTGTTTGAGACAGAGAATTCGCAGTTGGATATCGAAGGACTAGCTGAGAGAGGTTTGACTGAAGACCAAATTGCTCGATCGTTCTCCGATTATAGAAGACGTGCCTATACACCGGAACATCTCTACAACGTAGTCATGGAGATCAAAAATATCCATACCCTGGTGCTTAATCGAGTAGCAATGCTGCAGGTGCGGTGGGAGCAGCAGCAGATAGAGGTTCAACGATCACAAGAGGAACAAATCACTGGCATTGGTCGCCTTTGGAGAAGTACAAAACCACCACCTCAGACAGTGGCGAAAGAAAGAGGAGAAGCTCTTACCAAAGATGGAAAGCAAGATACAGCAGGTGACTGACCGAGTTCCTACCGAACTGCTACCCATAGATATCCTCCGATACTTACATTGCTCTCTTTTCCACTAAATGGGCGCATGATCCAACTCGCGACCTTTTTGGGAAATTCAGAACTTGCTAAAAGAGCCCCATAAAAGGATTCTGTAGCATATGTGACACCAACCCATACCACCAAGTGGACGGCTTCCAATGGCAGACCATAGTGAGTCCCGAAATACCCACAAGGAGATGTAACATGTTCGCCACGGATTTTTTCTGTGTACCGTTGTAATGTCCTGGTATGAAGTTGAATATAATTCTACAGATCAGACAGATCACAGCGTACATGAGAAGGTGCCAACTAACAACATGCTCGTGTCTGTAAAAGAAAACGCTCTCCCCGTACAGCGCCCATGATGCTTCTCCCACCTTGAACTTCCATACAAAGCGAGACATCGTGGGCGAACCTTATGGTGTCTGCGACTTTCATACCATGCACGTCTTCAGCGTGATCCTTTAAAATTACTCTTGAAAAGTTCTCAAAGTAACTTTTCCGATCCGCGAACCTTTTAATCGAGTCACCAACATCCATAAAAAACTTCCAAGTAAAGCTCCCAATCCCAAGAGGAAACCGATCGGAGCTACCATGCTGCGCCTTTCTCGCATGATAAGCAAGAAAAATGTCAGGATAGGTTCCGTTCTCCACGATCAATGCAGCACACGTGACAGCAGCCCTCGCCATTTTATTATGATTTCTATCGTTCGAATCTCGAGCCTGTTCGAACGCTTTCCACTCATCTACGTTGTCCCCTGCAACTTCATCAATTGAAGATGCTAGTTTGGTTGTCGCCAGATCGTGTAGATGTGCGAGAGCTGTGTTTGCGAGTAGAGTGGTGGTATGGATGGTGTCTGTTGCCAGACAAGTGTCTTCTTCACTGGAGCATACAGTGTATTCCCGTCGTATGTCATGGAGTGTATCCAATTGATTCAACAAAGTGTCCAGCTCGCTTTCACCCTTCTCGCTGGCGAGGCGTTCCCTGTGATTGATCAGGTCGGCGAACAGATCGCTTATTCGACTGAACAAACCGCTACCCTTCGTCGTAGCTAGGGATTCAAAAACCGCTATTGTGACATTTTTACGATGGAATAAATTATCCGAGTTCCCGAATACAACGTGACACGAATGGACGCCATTCTTCTGAATAACCGAATCGGGTGATTCCTTGAAATCGACGACTTTGCCGAGTTTCGCAAGGTCTTCCGTTTCCCGCTGCACGTTTTCATGCGTCTCCACAACAGAGGCCGGTGCATCACCCAGGTACGAGACATCAATCGAGTCATCACCGACAAAATGGAGGTGTCCTCTACTGGCTTTTTCAATGAGCAAATCCGGGCTGAGTACCATGGCAACTTTATTTCCCGACTCCCGGCCAAGAATAAATTCTATGTTGTCGATTTCTACTCTTGAGGTGTAGTCTTTTACAGTGTAAATCACTGCGGTAGTGCTAAAGGTAGCATCACCTTTGACAGAACCCTCTAGACAATGTCCATGGGAAAACGCTAAAGAATATACGAACGCACTAGCCCAACCAATGAGTCCAGGTTTTTGTTTGATCTCACGTCTTCAAGAACCACACTCATAAATTCATTTATCTTCTCAATGTCTTCCGGGGTATATTCCAATTCCACGCCGTCCTTCAATACGTACTGCAACCGAAACGGGGTGGACGAATCATGGTATATCTCCGCGTATATGAAAATACCGTTAGCCTTCAGTATGCTGGATACTATATCCCATGTCGTCGCCCACGAAACATCCTTGCCAAGTGTGGCGAGCATAGCCAAATCACGTCTACCGTCGTCAAACTCTCTTACCTCTGGCTTACCAGTGTGCATTTTGATCGACATGCGTGGGCACCGAGCCTCTACCTGGAACAACTCTTGATTTGTGCGACTATCCGGATCCAAGAAATACTCAATATCGTTGGTTCCTGGTGCAACCAATTGTTGCAGGATGGGTGTCGATGGAAGCCACTTTCTTACGCTGGCAGAGGAGAGATCATCGGGAGACACATGTACACTAGTTTCAAACCGCAAACACACTTTCGCAATGAGTTGCCATGTGAAATCGATAAATTCCTGTGTCGTTTCGACAAGGTGAACCCTTTCCGATTGGTCTTTGTATATCGGGTACTTGATTGTGTGCATGACATGGGCGTCGGCGATGACTTCAATAAAATCGGGTGGTATTATATCCGGAGAAATTGTTGCAAACGACTTCCAATTATGGGAAAGAAAAACTTTGACAGCCAATTTATTAAACAAAATCTGCGCATTGAATACATCCTTATCGCATTCGTTGGGTTCTGGAAAAACCGTAGACCCTAGTCCAATGACTGGTCTCTTGAGCTCGAGTCGGAAATACTCGAGAGTGACGTCGGTAATACGCCCCTTCCTTGGCCGTTCGCCCCAGACTCTCATTCAATTCATCCATAACGTTCTCTACAGCACCTAAATATAATAAAAACGCTTTTTTGCAAATCTAACAACGTGTTACAAGCGCCACATCGTTCAACGTCACTTGATATACCTGTTCAAGTAAGCTCGCATCTGAGTGCTGAATTTTTCAGCCACTACTGGGAACGAACCAGCGAAATAATTCAGTTCCGACGACTCTTAGTTATTTACGTACCGGGCGAGAGGGCCACGCCTTACAAAAAACTACCAATTCCAACAGAACTGATGGTTCTCTACAATACAGAATCCAAAGATCCGACCGCCATCGCCCTGTCCTACATCATCTATGATTCCGTTGCTGGATCCTTCTAAATATGAACATCCAGGGGTAGGCCCCAAAGCCCTTCTACTCCTTCCGGGCGCTATATTTTGTGGGTAAATGTTTTTAACCCACGACAGAGTCAACTCATTCTCCATGCAGCTCTTGAGAAGAATGTTTTTAAGAATCAACGCTGGTGTGGAGAACACCTTCATAAAGGTTGAAACTCCCCAACGTCTGTCGAGGCCGAAACCCTCTTTTCCACAATGGCGTCGACATGATATGTCAAGTGTTTGCTTTTGGTTGAAAATGACACGGGTTCAAAATCCGCTGCTCACCTAATTTTCTTCCGGAGTAGTACGGAAAAAGAAAAACGGTGGGTGGGCCAACAAACGATGCTCTGTCTATCGAACTGGACACTTCAGGCAATGCGTGCCGGACGTGGCGCACCCGCACACACGCACAGAAGATTGTTGGGAAAAAGATGGTTCTTCTACTCGCCGCCAGCCGGTCGGGTTCCGGTTACCCCAAGAAGACTTCGCTTGCCTTGCAAACAAGAAGAAGGCTCGAAAAAGGGGGGGGGTGATGAGGAGAACATCTTCATAAAGGTTGAAACTCCCCAACGTCTGTCGAGGACGAAACCCTCTTTTCCAGGACGAAACCCTCTTTTCCACACTGGCGGCCGTGGCGTTTGTTTTATGTGCCACATTCGCCCCCATTTTTGACGGTTGTTGCGTGCGGCTGGAGCCGAAGCCTCGCGGCCTTTTACTGTTCGCCGCAGCCGCCGGGGCACACACGATACGAATCGCGCTGAACCCTCAAGCATTACGAAGAAACCATGTGAACACACTAAACTGAGAAGCTGCTGCAGCTGCTGTACAAGCACGTGGCTACTACATACTGCAATACACAGGTGGCTGCCGTAGTCTACTGCGTAGGTACACAGGTAGTTGCACTGCTGTACAGGCACATGGCTACTACATACTGCTGTGGCTGCCGTATGGAGGGTAAATTCGCAGTCTACGCACGACGACATACTGCTGTAGCTTAGTCTAGACTACTATTGTAGTTGTTGAAAGCTGCTTGGCAGCACTCCGTACTCAGCACACCTTATGTGCGAAGAAGGAGAAATCACTGCTGTGACACATACACACGCACACATACACACGCGTATGGCGGCCTCGTCACGACCCTCACGGGCGGGCAGGCTAAGAACACATAGGTGGCACCATCTATCTCACAGCCTACATCTGGCAGACAGTGCCCTCGACCCTTCGACGGCGGTGGTATCTCCTTCTCTCACGGAATCACAAATCTTTTGTTTGGACAACCGGCGTATAACCTGGATTTCCTGCTACTACTACACAGTACAGTACTACTGCGGCGGCTGCGGATACTGGATTCCTGGACGTGTTCACCTGAAGGAAAAAGCCAAGAGAACCTGCGAGCAGGGCTTGGCTCCCTCGTGACTTCCTAGTGGCTCGCTAGGTTCGGACGAGGGTATGTGTGGAACTCTGGCAGTGTATGTATTGCTGTTTTGTTTGATTCATCTAGCTGCTGGCACGATGACTGTTGGATCTCGGGAGTGTACGATCATCAAATTGGGAGATACAGCATACCACGATATCCTGGCTTCGGCTGGGCTTGAAATAACCCTTTTGCTGTCCTCCGCTCTTTGCATCAGTGGCTTCCTAGGTTCGGGCGAGGGCATGTGTGGAGCTATGG